TTATGTTGTGAAGTCAACAACAGGTAAAAGAATGTGCTTGCTGCCGTGTGTATAAGGTTGGGCCTGTAAAAGCAAAATACTTGAATCCTGCTATGTTTGCGTGCATCACCTGGAACAGGACTACCTGAATCTGAAATGAGATTTCTGAATAATGTTTTATTGCAAGTGAAACCAGGCTGGAATACAATGCTGTGTCAGTCCAGTACTTTCCAGAACATCCCAAGTGTACTAGATATGTCTTATATTTATTATCTGCTGAATGAATCTGTTATCAAACCTAAATATATAAATAATCCTATAAAAAGAGGGATAAGGAAGAGAGATCTGCAAAAATACTACAGGCAGATGAAGAGGTCCTAAGAAAAAGAACTGAATTTAGGAGATGTTATCACTAAAAGACAAAAATAGAAGACATTGATATCTTTTTCTTCAGTGCATACTGTTCAATGTTGTAGTAGTCCATGTATTTCCAAACTAATACTGTATCACTGTGAGTGGCTACCTTCATGAGTGTAACGTTTTTGTTGTCAAGATGATTTTTATAAACAGTTAGTCACAGCTAATCTAAAAGCAGTTCTGAATTCTGGGAACCAAGAGGAAAATCTGGCAGGTAACAGTAATTTTCTGGAATTGCATATTTACATATGGGGGATGTAAACTTTATTATTAGTTTGCTTTACCAAACAGTAGATATTCCTTCATTTTTTGAGGGCAGTTATTGCATTTCATCTAAAGCATATGACATTAAAATGATGGCTGACAGCTATGGATTTGGAAGTGCTTTGATCTAAAGAGAGGTTTTTGGGGTTTTTTACTGGGAATACACTGTGTGGGGTAAGAAATTATGCGACATGTTTAAAGAACTACGTGGTTTTCAAATTCTAGGATATTTAAAAAAAAAAAGAAAAAAAAAAGGATAAATTTCACAACAGATTATGTCCTGCCTGTACTTGAAGAAAACATTAGTTTACCTTCAGAGTTAAAAGAACTTCTCATTTTGGAAATCAACAGGCTAATAATGCATTTTTCTTCAGTATGGTCTTATTTAAAACTGTGCTAAAGAAAGCAAAGGAAAAAAATCATATGGACAAATTTAGAAGTTCACAAATGCCAAGTGGGAAGGCTTCACAGCTGTTGTAAATTGAATGTTTGCACATTAGAGTGTGAATACTGATTTTAACCTTTCTGTGGGGAATTTGGTATGCTGTGTAATTGACAGGTGAGAACTATATTCCCCTATTAGCTTCCCACCTCTGTTGCTCCTCAACATAAGACTAGACAGGAGTCAGAAACAGAACATCAGTAATAGAAACCAGAAGCTGAAAGTAGGGCGAATGTTGGGAAAATTGGAGCTATTGCTAAATCCTGTTTGCTTTTGATACATATAACAGCTCACTTGGAAGTCAAACTGTATAATGGATGTTTAAGGATGTCTTCTTAGTGTGATGTTTTTCAGACTATGTATTTTGTTTAGTCAGTGCCTGTGATATTTGTGCCAATATTTGGTTTCTTAAAAACATTTCTAGTACCTTACAGACTGTCACTGAATGTGCAATACTCCACTGAATGTGCTTTTTTTCTTGTCATTTGCCTTGTCTTCGAGGAAGTACATCTGGGGGGCGTAATGCAGATCAGAGGCTCAGCCACTTGAAGTTTATGTAGAAGGGAGCAGCTAACAATTCTGTATCTCTCCATAAACCATTCACTCAACAGTGCTTAAAATACTAGCTTTTATAAGCTTTTGGAGGGTTAAAAAAAATAAAAATTTAATTTTGAAGCAAGACAATAAAATCCTATATGGGAATTGTGTTCATATAGCTGTCCAATGCAAAAGTATCCGTTGGTTGTGCTTTAAAGAGAAATTAGGCATAGCCATTGTGTATGTATTATGATTTATGGCTGTGATGCAAAGTTTTCTTCTGTCTTTTCTTCTCTCAACCTTAAAGCATCATTGATCACCCTGATATTTCTGTCATACCTTCAAACAGAGTTTCATGCTCCTGTCTCCTGTTTAAAATAAATAGCTTGCTTTTCAATCAGAGTATAGATTTTTTAAAAATATGTGCAGTGTTGATTTAGGGTTTTTTAAGCTGTGAGAAATATAGTACCTGCTCTGCTTGATTGCTTCCACCCTGTATTTATTGTTGAACATTTCTTTTATTTGTTTGTGGCGAGAGTTTACACGGATGTGGAGGAGCATGGCCGTGCTTGTTTGCAGGTCGAGGTCTTATTCTACTCTATTCAACTGAATGATTTCCTCTCACTGGAAACCCCTATTGCTATGAATGCTAGTCATTTAATTGGCAGTTATTGCCAAATGTTAGTATTAACTAAACTATTGGAATTCTTGCTTGTTAAAACTGAGTTTGAAATTTTTCACATTTATTTGAATTCTCTGTGATTTCTGAATCTGGCTAGAACAGTAACTTAAGAAGAGGCTTGCTTACAAATTTGCAACTTTGCAGTTTTCTAGCTCTCCTACAACCAAAGAAGAAAACCAGAGAGACAAGATGGATAACTTTTTCAGAGTTTCTAGATATTTGGTGTAGAATTAGGTTTTTTTTTTTAGCTAAAGTTTGTATTGCCGAGCTCTGGTAACTAGAAGGAAGGTTTTCAGTTTTAAAATTCAAGAGTATTATAATATTAGAGTTATGTTGAGACAAATAAGACAAAGGCATTCATTTTAAACTCACTTGTTGTGAGTTACACACAGACAAATAACGGCCACTTTTACTGATGAGATAGTTTTATGTTGTCATTTTTCATTTTCCCTTTAAAAAAGTTTTGAGACATCATGGTAGTTTCCTTGATACATCATTGTGATTACTTTCAATGAGGAGATTGGAGAAAACAGTAGAAGAAATGCAGCATCTTTAGATTAAATATTTAATGCTTAAGAAATGTTTGATCTGTTAGTAGTGAAAAAATAGTATTGACTGTAATTTTTATTCATGATGTATTGTGTTAATGTAGGAGATATGTTGGTATATCAGTAGTGTAGGATTTCTGATGAGACAGTAGGTAAAATGTTCTGTTTGCTATTTTGTTGCCAAACTTGACAAGAGGCAAATATAAACTATCAAATATCAACTCTAGGTGGTAATTTTTTCTCCCATAAAATCTAGAGCGTAGGTTGTTTGTGAGTCTGCTGATCTTGGAATTACTGCTTTAACTCAAGAGTAAAGACATCCCCTCAAGGGTCTTGGGTTCAGTGCAATAGATGAGCATGGAAATGAAAAATTTCTGAAGGCTCAAGGTGCGCAGGGAGAGCTTCCCTGGCAATATGGGCAGTGCTTGCGAACTCGGTACAGGTAACTTTCAGTTAACAAACTTATACAGACAGCGATTAAATTGTCATGTGAGGAACGAGCCAAGACTTCTGGGCTTAGTTAGCACAAGTAGCTGCTGTTTAAACTAAAGATCCATGTCAAGTACCTCAAAGACAAGAGCTTCCTAGGGATATACTGACTGGCTTTCAGGGATTGTACGTAATCAGCAACTCTTAGGTACTGTTTTCAGAGATGGTGGATAAGAGAGGCCTAGGATATCAACTGGTTTTTACAATGTTGAGGTGCAAAGCAGGTAAACCCCTTAATGTTTTCAGCACTTGAGAAATACTGCCTTTACTGTCAACCTGTCAGGCTTTGTCTGTGAGCTGGGGCTAGTACCTGTTCCATCGGTACCCCAGCCTCCTCCCCTGGGATGCTTTCTTCCAATACTCGCCTTTCCCAGCAGACTTAACAGGCTTCAAGTTTGTGAGATGCATTGGCAATAAGGGGTACTAGTAGAAACATTTTGCAGTTTCGTAGTATGTTAGGTAGGTCTGTCACTGTATGTGTTGTAATCTGTGAAAACAATATATTTTGGGAATGATTTGCATTTTCTTGACACTGGTGATGCATATGAATACTTAGAGATGTAAATTAAAGAGAGTGTTTTGCATTTAGAGAGAAAGAAGTAGGAACACTTGCTTTTGCAGATGATTTTAAACACATCCCCTTTCACTAAATATGAGGCTGTGTTCTGTGTTGGAAGATGAGCAATAATGCATTTCTTTATAAACTCTCTTCTGTTTTATCTGGCAGATTATCTTGCTAGTTATGCCTAATTGATCCTTACACTGAATTTTCCATATCATAACCCCTGTGTCCTTCAGAAAGTTTGCTGCAGTCAGATATAACTGTAATTCCTCTAAACTGATGCCGGGTTTTTTAAAAAGTATTTGTACCACTACTTTTTTCCACCTCTCAAATTGACTGTGGTGTTATTAAAGAGGTTAAAGAGGAATGAGATGGTTTGTAGGATTGGGGTACATGTGCTGAGAGACAAGAGAACAAATTTGGAGTTTCAGGTTTAAATATATCTTTTTTTTCTCTTTTTTTTTTTTTTTAAGTAGTGAAGAAAATGAAAGCACACTAATACTCTTTTAAACATCTGTGAAATTTACTGTAATTTCAGTTATTACAGTAACTAGCTGCATTACATGCACTTTATAAGTTAATTATTAAGCTGTTGGAATAAATTTTTACACTTAATGAACTTGTTTTGGTTATTGCTCATATTAAACATTTTTGCTAACCCATGAACAACTATGAACTTAAATACATAGCAGCTCTCATTGTTTCTAATTAGGTATAGTGACCAGTGCATGATTAAAGATTCTACTGTTGATTGTATGGATATCGGTGTATACCTGCACATCCACTGTTTGTGTTTGACTTCCTGTAGTCCCAGGTGGACAAGTAGTAGGGACACCAGCTGAAACTGTTTCTGCTTAAGCTGTGATACTGTATTTGTCATTTTCCATTGATTTGATTTATCTTTGAATTAGGTGAGACCTCAGTGAAAATCAGATTCTATATATGAATGTTCAAATTCCACCCAACACCAAAAAGCATTTTTAGTTAATCAGAACTGTGTTCTGTTCTTAAATTTCCACCTCTTTTTCTCCTTGTTTTTTTTAGTTTTTTTTGTTTTAATTTTATTTCTATTTTTTTTAGTGAGTGACAGTTGCTTCAGGAACCTTGCCGAGGATCGTAGTGGGATAAACCTTAAAGATCTGGTCCAAGACCCTTCTTTGTGAGTATCTGGCTCTTATTGCTAAGCAAAGAAAAGCTTCTTCCTGATATCCTCGTGAGTAGTTTTGTAATTATATAAAGAAGTAGTATGATGAAGTACACACAGTGCTTTAGTGGTAATATGCTTGCCAAGTTGTTAGTCTTTAATACAGGCAAATATTATTAATACCACCTTGTTTTTAATGTAATTCTGTTTATGAACTAACATCCAGATACCACATATGGTAAAGGGTGAAAGAGTCATCAGAGGTAGCAGATGGTGCATGCTGGTATTTCTGTGGAGGATTTGTATGCATATTGTTGCCCCTCTTTTTTTAAGGAGGAACTGCATATAAATTAGGAGATTATTGGATAACTGTGTTACTGTCAGTTATCTTAACATGTAGAATGTGTTTTCTTTTTATCTGATTTCATACAGCTCATATTTACTTCTTCCTCTACTACCTGTTTAAATTCAAGTGTCTGAGCAGATGATCTAAATTTTGCTTCATGGAAAGACTGCTGGTCTTTGTCAGTGTTGTATCTTTCTTTAAAATAAAATTCAATTTTGTGAACTCTAAGCCATATGTGAAATTGTATCAAACCTTCTTTGTGGTTTGGTTTTTTACTTGGTTGGGGGTTTTTTGTTGTATTTTTTTCTCTTCAGGTAACTTCAGTACTTGCTGAAAATGTTCTTGCTAGTGTGTGAGTGCACCACTTGTTATAAGGGAAGGGAAAGAAGGGAAAAAATCACATGTTTTTAAAATTAATGATACTGCATTCCACTGTGGGTGATGGGACTTGATACTGACGGAGCAGATTTTTCAGTATTGGTTGAGAAGTAGTGAAAAAATAAGGTGTATTTGACATCTTTTTCAGTTACAGGGGATTTTTAGTAATGAAGTAGATACAGAATTTGCTTTGTCATGTTGCTACAAGTAAGTGATATACATATATACATGCATTCTTGGAAAATTTTGACATAATGTATGCAGTTGATGATTTATACATCTGAAATTATAGAGGTACAGGGGCAGATATAATTGTTGCTTGAGATGCACAGAACGAATGCAGTAGGTAAACTTTTAACGATAACTAAGTGTTGTGCAAAGGTCTTAACTGTCAACTAAAATTTGTCTGTTGGCAGTGTGAGATTTCTGTTGTTGTTTGTTGGTTGGTTGGTTGTTGGTTTTTTTTTTAAGGATTGTATGGTTTTTGGAGCTGCAGGTATACTTATGTGCTACATATAGTTTTGGATTTGCACCTCTGGAGTTTACTTTAAGAAAAGTTGAATTGTCTGTTGTAAAATGATCATTTTCCTTTCTGTTTACCAAAAGTGATGAAATCTTCTAGTTTTCTTCCTTGACTGTAACTTACATGTTGAATATTTTAATAAATTATTGTAACATTCAAAAGAAATTAATTTATTTCTGTTGCTTACAGCAAAACAAGTGTAAGTGACTGCAATGTAGCCATTTTTGTCACTTTTAAAGACTGAATGAAGTCTCAATACATGTCTTAGGTTTCAAGGACTGCTTATGGTACTTTGTTGTATGACGGATTATAGTGCAAGAAGTCTCCTTTCTGCCTAATGATAGGGATGTACAGGCTTGAGTTTGTCTTTCCAAATTTATATTCTTACAGTTTTATGACCGAGTGCCTCTTAAGAGTTCTTGCAAAATGTGTAATAGTGTGAGTGAATCTCCAAAATGGAGAAACAATCTAGCCTTTTGTAGGTGACTGTTGAAGTCCCATGAGATCTGCATTCTTTGTCATGCAAAGGACAGCATGGGGATGAAGCACAAGAGTGCCAGCCAAAGAGATGTTTTAACCTTCCTTGAAGTAAGAATAAAGTTTAATTAAAATCTTGAGAGTATTTCTTGACATGGAAATGCAGAGATTCTGCTTGCTGCTGTAGGGAGAAAATTTGTGTGGCCAAAGCTCACCTGGAGTTGAAGCTGCCAGAAATGTGGGGGACAATAAAAAGAGTTTTAACAAATATATTAGTGGCAATAGGCAGTATAGAAATATCATCAGCCCGTTACAGGGTGAGGATGGTCACCTCACAAACGGGGACAGAGACAAGGCAGAGATGTTTAACACTTTCTTTGCCTCTGTCTACAACACGGCTGACGGACCAAGGGGGTGTCTCTGCCCTGAGCTGGAGGACCAGAACTGTGAGAATGATCAACCCAGTTGACCCTGAAATTGTGCAAGATCTACTGCTCCAACTGGATCCTTACAAATCTCTGGGGCCTGATGGGATTCATCTCAGAATCCTGAAAGAGCTGCTGATGTCGTCTCAAAACCTCTGTTGATGGTTTTTGAGCGGTCTTGGGAATCTAGAGAGGTCCCAGCTGACTGGAAGCTGGTGAATGTTGTCCTGATTTTCAAGAAGGGCAAGAAAGAGAACCCTGGAAACTACAGGCCTGTCAGTCTCACTTCAGTGTCTGATAAAGTTATGGAGAAGATTATTCTGGGAGGCATTGAAAAACACCTGCAAGACAACACAGTGGGGTTCCACAGGGCTCCATCTTAGGCCCTGTGCTCTTCAACATCTTCATAAATGACTTGGACACAGAACTGGAAGGGATACTAAACAAGTTTGCAGATGACACAAAACTGGGAGGAGCTGTTGACTCCCTTGAAGGCAGGGAGGCCCTGCAGTTCAACAGCAGGAAAGTTCTGGATTCTGCTCCTGAGATGGGGCAACCCTGGACATACATACAAACTGGGGAATGAGATGCTGGAAAGCAGTGCCACAGAAAGGCACCTGGGGGTCCTGGTTGATGGCAAGTTGAATATGAGTCAGCAGTGCCCTGGCAGCCAGGAGGGTCAACCCTGTCTGGGGGGGCATCAGGGAAAGCATTGTCAGCTGGTCAAGGGGGATGACTGTCCCAAAATGTTCTGCACTGGTGCAGTGTCACCTTGAATATTGTGTGCAGTTTTGGGCACCACAATATAAGGAAGATATTAAGCTGTTAGAGAGTGTCCAAAGGAGGGTAACGAAGATGGTGAAGGGCCTTGAGGGGAAGCTGTATGAGGAGGGGCTGAGGTCACTTGGTCTGTTCAGCCTGGGGAGGAGGAGACTGAGGGGAGACCTCATTGCAGTTACAACTTCCTTGTGAGGGGAAGAGGAGGGGCAGGCACTGATCTCTTCTCTCTGGTGACCAGTGACAGGACCTGAGGGAATGGCCTGAAGCTGTGTCAGGAGGTTTAGGTTGGATATTAGACAGAGGGTGGTTGGGCACTGGAACAGGCTCCCCAGGGCAGTGGTCACAGCACTAAGCCTAACAGAGTTCAAGAAGCATTTGGATGGTACACTCAGGCACATGGTGTGACTCTTGGGGATGGTCCTGTGCAGAGCTAAGGGTTGGATTCAATGATCCTTGTGGGTCCCTTCCAACTCAGCATATTCTGTGATTCTGTGAAAATTGTTGCCTGTAATAATACCTGAAATAACAAAATAACATTTGATTCACCCTCTTACCAGTTTAATATTTAAAGTTTAGGATTTATTTGGTACTTGTTTACGTTGACTGTAAGTGAACTGCCTCTTTTCTTTGTACTCTAATATCAGATACAAACATTAGATTTACCTAAAAAAATTCTAATTCTTTCTCTGCAAAATGCTCTCTCCCTTATTGTTTGCCACTCTTGGCTCTGTCACAGGCAACTTTGCTCATGTTATTGCAGAAGGCTTTTTTTTGGAGGGCTGAAAGTGTGTCTTTACATTGAAATGAAACTCTATAAAATAGATAGCTTTGTAGCGTTTTTTGATTAATGTCTGATTTATATCAAGTATGTCTAATTGTCACAGTGGTCTTTTTTCTCCAACTGATTTCCCAGATGGAGCTGTCTGTAAACTTGGTCTGCTTTCAGTTCTCTCATCATTACTAATAAAAACTCAGAAGTTTGATCATCTATACTCTTATGTGTTTTACTCTGTCAATAAAAATGGAAATGCTGCTTAAGGAAAAAAAAACCAAAACACCAAGCATATCAAATAAACCTGAAGTGAGGAGTTATAGACTGTGGGAGAAGGAAATATGTAGCAACTTTAAAATTAAATTTCATTTTGTGATTAATTACTGAAAAATTTGATTTCTGCAAAAAGTTGATTGGAGATTCAATTGTAAAGATGGTTCGAGAGTTAAGTGCTGTTCTTTATTCATTTCAGCTAATCATAAAATAGTTTGGGTGGGAAAGGTCCTTTAAAGGTCCTTTGGTCCAACCCTCCTGCGGTGAGCAGGGATCTCTTCAATTACCTCAGATTGCCCAGAACCCAGTGATGTGTCTGCTACATGCAGTGTACAGTTTGGGACACAAATCTTAGAGATCCAGAGGTGTGTAAGAGAACAGCAAGAGGATAAGGCAGTTAGAAAGTGCAATGCATGACAGGTGTTAATTACTTTAGGAAACAGCAGTAGAAGAGAGGAAATATAAGTTGTCTACAGTATATAAAAGATGAAGGGGTTTGTTCTTTTTGGCTGATGAGAAAGAATTGGTTCAACTTATGGCAGACAAGATCGATTGGATAGTTTGAAAAAATTCTAAATGTCAGTGTAGTGAAGAAACTAGAATCTATATCTAAGAATGTCAGGGAGAGCTCTGCAGATTACAGTCTAGATATTTGATCCTATCTAAGTGTTTCATCGTGTAAGTGAAGAGAGCTGAAAGGGCAAACTTTTTTTTTTTCTCTCCTTTTTTTCTTTTACTTCTATGAAAGTGTATGCATTCTGGTTTGGCATCCACGTAATTAATATGACCAAAAACCAGGTGGAACTTATGTGTAGTCCTATAAAGGTAACTTATTGTGGTTATGAATATTCAGATCCTATTATCTGGTTTAGATGAAGCTCCAACTTCAGCCCTGTCTACCATTCCAGTAACACATAAAAGATATAAAAAAATGTTGCGTTCTACAGAGGAGATTGATCTCCATGAGAAGACTATAGTTGTTCTTACATGAATTGTCACTAGGCTAAGTGGTTGGTTCTTAGATCATGGCACAGATGTTGT